TTGAGTGATTTATGTGATGCTTCAACCAGGGCATTTGGTGTGTGTGTGTGTGTGTGTGTGTGTGTGTGTGTGTGTGTGTGTGTGTGTGTATTGGTGCAAGACTTCTGCTTCAGAGACATTCATTCAAGCTTCACATTTTCTGGCCTTTCTGGACCCTGTAACTTAAACATTTGGATGAAAAACATCCTTCCCTGAGAGGCAGTGCTAGTGCACTTTGAGAGAAAGAAATGACTGTTTTCATTGGGAGGGATCACAGAGGGCAGTGTGTGAATTTTCAGGCTGGCAGAGAAAATAACCAGCTAAAATAACTTAGAAATAGTCTAGAAATTTCTTTCAGGACCATGATCTATGAAGACCAAAGTATTACAACCCAGATCACCAAAGACCTCCAAAGAATAGTGAATTCCACTCAGGCCCCTGGTGAAAGTTTCTTTCTGAAGCAATCTGGTGACTAATAGCTTGTCCAGTTCTGAGTATGATCACTATCCTTGCCAAGCAGAAGGGAGGACTGCAAGCATCTCTAAGTTACCCTGAGAGTGGTGCCACTGAAGCCCGAGTTCTCATGGCATGCCTTGTCAGATCCACCCTCTAGTAACAAGCTAGTTAATGTTCATGGAAATAGGTCAGTTGGCGTCCTACAGGTGTAAGGTCAGCTATTTCACCATGATTTAGACACGCATAGTCTATCCAGTGTACATCCACTCAGGGAGTAAGATAACATGGTCTCAATCCTCCATTCTTAATTGAGAACCCTGCAAAGAGAAGGGTCAAGCTGAAAGCACACATAAAAAAAAACTCAGAACACCTGCAGTAACCGGGTTCATGTCTGGAAGCATGGATTTTCAAAAGTAGCCCTGGATTCACGTACAAGTACTGAGTCTGGTTCCTTTTCATCATTTGTAATCTAGGGTTATAAGTGATTTTTGTGGTGGTCAGTCATCCTGTATAGTACCATTGGAAGGCAAGCCACAGGAATCCACTTCTGTCATTAAAGAAGTAAGTTAAGTCTGGGCTCTCTCAGAATGCACATAACATTAACGTAGCAGACGGAGAGCACGCTGAACAACTTAACAAAGGGAGTTCAATGAACCAGGGCAAAGAGAACATCACGGGATGTCTAAGTGCTCTGGAATAGCAAAATAGAGTCTATTACCATTACTGACCTTGGAAAGATTGGCCAGACAGAGTCTAGAGAACTAGAGTGGTGTTGGGGGGTTGCCTTTTGCTACAAGTGGTCAACTCTTTGCTACAACAGCTGGAAGGCAGCAAGACAGTAGGGGTAGAAGCCCTGGGCCCCTCCCTCTTCCCATCCTGGTCTCTTGCATGTGCCCCACTATACCCTAGAGACATGAGGAATACTAGTCAAAGATGTCCTGGTGATGCTGTCTATATAAAGCATCTTTCTTAGGAGAGAAAATTTGGGGCAGTGTGGAAAGCAACTAATAATTGAGGGCACAATCACCTAAATGTGAAAGAAGGTGCTTTGTAAAAAGTCGGTAAGTGCACAGGTTGCCTTCGGATGGACCACTTTTGTCCTGCCAAGGGTCACTGATGCTTCATCTCTTCCAGAGCATGTGCATTCACCCTGGGAACTGTACTAATGTAGGACAGACAGCTATTCCTCACTGGGGTAGGGAGAATAATAAAAAAGAATCTTGTTTCCAGAAATACACAGAATTTGAAATAGACCTTGATATGAAAGTATGGTTTCTGTAAAGCAGTATGCGGACTTACAGAAAGGACCGACTGTGTTGCAAAGGGGAAATAACAAAAAGAGGAGCTGTCGGACTGGAAACTATGGCTTCCCCCAGGTTCCTGCAGGACAAATGACTTGTAGCATGCCTGCCTGATATAGAATGCTCTCTCAGCCTTGCCAATTTAATGAAGAGCAATGACGAGTGTGAGATAGGAATCAAGAAGTAAAGTTGGAAACTGATACAGTCTTTGCTATATCCCAAAAGAATGTCCCAGGTACAAAAGACAAATGCTCAGATTGGTACACCCAGAAGAAATGTCACCATGAACTGTGAGCTGATCCCAACCTAGTCTCCTCAAGCTTAGGAGGTAGCCTCCTGTCTCAGCTTTAAACAGCCTATTGCTTGGATATGTAGGTAAGACACAGAGAAGACAAGAAAGTGAGTCAATTCATATTATGTCCCAGGGGAACTCTGGGCCAGAGAGGTTTCTTGATTTCTGAAGGAAGTTTGGAAAACTCATATCAACTGCCATATGAACTGAGTAGAGGAGGCTGAAGCTCTATGGAGCAGAGAGAACATCAGCAAGGCTTCCCTGGGTGGAAAATACATAAGGCACAAGGGCAAAGAGATGTTACTCATGTAACTGGAGAAGAGGGTGTGAACATGTTTGGACTGAGAGAGGTGGTGTCAGAAACAGTTAAAGAAAGTCACTGCTATTTTGAGAGCCTGACGCATTGCATTCTAACTACAGGCAAGGAGGAAAGTAAGGACACTGCTAGCTGGGGAGGAGTTTAGACAAGTAAGGATGGGGTCTCCACAACAGAGTTATCACTGAACAAGTGCCAGAACAAGATGAATCAAGAGATACTGTTGGGTAAAAGTCCTTGCTGAGTCAGGTGTGGAGGCTTATGTCTGTGTCCCAGCACTCAGAATCTAAGGTGGGAACATCCCAAGCTCTAGGCAAGCCTGGGTTATACAGCAAGACACTGTCTTGATTATAGATATAGAGGAGTCTTACCAAGTAGAGGCTGGATGGAGAGGAGAAATCAACAATGAATGTTACTTTAAAAACAATAATGCTGTAAGGGAACAGCAAGGGGTGGTGACTGATAATGGAGAAACAAGTTGGATGAGTATAGCCTTTAACTCTCCTAAGAAGAAACTCACCTCAAATCCTTTTCAAGCTAATCCTACAACTGCCTTTCAAGAGTGTATTCCTGACATTGCCAATTGTCCCTTTCCTCAAATTTCCAATTAGCAATTTTCTCTATTACCCCCCAAATTAACTGGATCCTAAATTATATTATCTTTCCCCTAATCCTATCCTCTGCAGAGCAGCTCGCCATCATTTTAAGCCAGGAATCAGCAGTTAACTCCCAAATGATGCCCCTTCAGTCACTTTTCCATAGAAGCCAGGAGGTACTTGCTAAATTAATAATCAGATCCCACCATCAGCTAATCGCATACTTTCATTAACTATCTCAATATAGTCTTAACAGAACATAATCCTATTACAATTGTCACCTCTTATATCCTCTGCCTCAAATTCCGTGACATAACTGGACCTATGTGCTCAACTACTGAAAAACACTATTTGGTAAATGAATACAGAAAATAAATATAAACATGGTTACACTGATATTTAAATCCATCTGACCATTGGGATTGTGAACATGATGATAACTATGCCCCCATACACAAGGAATATGCAATTTAGTATTGCGGAGTCAGTGGCAAACCAGTCCCTACATCACCCATGAAATAGGCAGTGATAATTAGACAATCAAAAGAGTATAGTGACAAACATCTTTACCTCAAGCTTAGACTGAAGTTCAAATTCACTAACTATTCGTTGTACAATTTCTTTCTTGATGGTTTTAAGGAACTTCATATGTAAGCACTATACATCACTCCCACCCTTCCAACCCTCACCCATCCCTCAAAAATTTGTGTTCTTTATTATTGTTGTATGTATATTACACACACATATGTATATCTATACACACACACACTGAATTCATTTATTGTTGTTTGTATTGTCTATGTGTCCAGGGCTGAGCACTTGGAATGGGACCACCATTATAGGAGCTCTAACAGGAAAAATGTCAGAGTTTTCTTAAGAGCTGCTATTAGGAAGGCATAGGAAAGAGTGTCTTGGAAATAGGAAAGACACTGTTGAAGAAGAGAAAGGAATCCAGAAATGGAGTCTGGAGGTTGAGGCTGCTTCTGCAGCCTGTACTGGGCTCAAGAGAAGATGCTTGAATTTTTGAATGTTTTCCTAGAACTCAGTGGTATTCATCTACCTACTTGAACAATCAACTAACAGTTCTGACTTCCACAGTATTTCCCAGCTAGAGCAACACAGTTTCTTTATATTTCTAACACATTTCTCTTTCCCTAAAACTGGCTCCAAAGCACTTCCACATAAATGATTCAGAAAGCAAGAGCAACATCACAACAGGCTGCAGCTGACCCTGCTTCCGACTACCCCTAACCCTGTCTACTCACTGTATCTTGATTTCCTTTATTCCATTAGTTACCACCCCATCTTTTTATGAGCAACAGTTTGAGATGTCTGCTAAATCTCTTAAGAGATTTCCTTTAAAAGAAAATACAAACATCTATTCAAAAATGTCAGACACCCCTACCTGCTGCTCTTGTGGATTCTCTATGCTCATTTTCTCTTCTCCCTGTCACTCCATACAAAGATTTTCATATACTGTGGACCATGAAACCATCCCTTGTAAATAATAACAAAAACTAACCATGTAACAATGAAGAAAGGACAAAAACAAGTGAAATGAAAATAACATCAGCAGTAAAGGAAGAAAACTGAATTCCACTTATAGATGGCATAAGAATCTATATAGAAAGTTCTAAAGGAATCAATACAACTGTGAAGATTAATGTGAAACTTAATACTTCAAACAATTTTGTTTTGTATGCTAGCACTAAATATTGAAAATTTTAAACTTAAAATTGTTTGTAGAGCCCCTAAAGATTACAGCACCCGTTGAGCACACTTAACAAAGGACATAGGACAGTTCTCTCTGAAAACTGTAGAGCATTGCTGAGAGAAACTAAGGAAGAATCACATGGATAGTTAAAAAATATCATATTCAAGGGTTTATTGAGCGACTTCAGTTCATAGTTCATTGCAAGTTCATAAGTTCATTGAGTGATTCAGTTGTTACAATGTCAACTCTACCCAAATTGATGTATGTATTCAGAGCAACCCTAGTCAAAATTCAGCAGAGGTATTGTCACTGAAACTGACATGCTGATTCAAAAATTCACTTATAGATTTGACGGATCTGGAATAGCCAAAACAAATTTGAAGAAGAAGAAAGATGGAGGACTTGAGCCATCTATAGCAATCAAGATGACATCCATAGAAATCAGGATGATGTAGCACTGATGTATGATTACTGGGAGAAACAGTCTGAACAAGGGCCAGAAATGAACAAACATGGCAAAGAGAGTCAAGAGACTCCAGAATGCATGTGACCGATTCCACAGATGAGTTTTAATGTCACAGAGTAAGTTTGAAAAACCCAAACTCATACTTCTCGAGGTTAAAGGGCCTCATTTTATGTTAACCTTCTGGTTGGTAGAGTCTCAAGATGGTGAAAGACAGGAAACCCATGTGTGGTATCTTCATTGGTGTCTCCCACTCTTCTTCTGAAACCACCATAGCCAAACCTGGGCTCTAGCTTCATGACCTTGTTTAATCTAAACACACTACAAAGGCCTTATCTCTAAACATGAAAGCTTTAGTTTCCAGTCTTTTTACAACCACAATAGGGATTAAATGTCAACAGGAGCTTCAGAGAGAAAAATGCCACATTCAAACCATATCATGGAATGATTATTTTGATAGCCACATATTTCTAAAAGAATATCCTTCATTGTCTCAAAATACATAAAAATACAATCTCAGAATTGTCATAGACATAAATACAAGTATAAGTCATAAAATTTCTAGAGGAAAGCAAGGATGGAAATTTTGTTGATATGAGGTCTTGGAGAGGCTTCTGAAATAGGACACACACACACAATGCTTCATAAAGGATATTACAAATAGGATTTATGAAAGTTATATTTTTCCTTTTTTAAAAGACATTGTTAAGCATGAACACACAGCCCACAAAGTATAAAAAAGTGTTCCCATAGTACATACTCAACTAAGGGTTCACATTCAGAATATATAAGAAAGCAAACACCCCGGATGCACTTGTTTGCACATGCCTACAATTCCAACACTTGGGAGGCAAAGACCGGTCATCCTTAGTTCTATGGTGAGTTTGAGACCAACCTGAACTATGTGAGACCCTGTCTCACATAAACCATCAAAGAAGGAAAGAAAGGGGGGAGAGAAAGGAGAGAAAAATCCAATAAAAATAGAAGATCTTTAATGAAGGTAAGTGAATAGCCTGGAAATATGTGAAGTACATCATTTATCAGCAAAGTGGGAATTAAAACTATATAAGCCATGTATATCCATTAGAATGACCATAATTAAAATGATGAGAATTACAAAATGTTAGTCAATGAGAAGCCTGCTGGAATGGAATATGGCATAATCACTTAGAAAAGGCTTTTGGTTTCTTAAAAAGTTAAAACATATAATCCAGACATTCCATTCGAAGTATTTATGCAAAAGAAACATAAACATATGTTCATGTAATGACTTGTACACAAATATTTATATTAGTTTTGTGCACAATAACGGAACCTGGAAACACTCCATAGCAACTTTATGCACAATTAGCAAAAATTGGTAGTAATCCAGATGTTCCAACAGGTAATAGATAAACAGTGGAATATTATTAGACAATAAAAAGAAACAAACTTCTAGCATATAAAACAAAATGAACTACCACCAAGGTCAAGAAGCCTGGAGTGACAACTATGGTCCCATTTCTATAAAAATCCTAGTCAATATAATAAAGTTATGACAAAAAAGCCATTCTGTGATTAAAAAAACAAAGGCACCGATAACAATAGATGGGGGTCAAGAATAACCCCGGGAGGTTAGAAATAGTCACTATTTTGTTATAGCAGTGATCTCAGACACACACAGAGCTGTGCATATTCAATGAAAGCAGCAAACTACTCACCAGTAACACTTCAGTGAAGCTGATTTTAAAGCAAAGTAATGAGTTCACAAGCTAATCTCTGGAATTTGGACCCAAGTTTTTCTAAATAGCACAAGTTTTCTTCCCAGAGTTATGCAAGGTGAGATCTGTCCCCATCTGTTTTCCTGTCCCTTCTGTTTTGTGTTTCATGCCACTTTCCCTTCCCTTCCCTTCCCTTCTGCATCCCATGTCACCTTTCCTTTCCTTCCCTCCTATGTCCCATGTCACCCTTCCTTCCCCCCTCCTGTGTTCCACGCCACCTGTTGTTTTAATGTTCAAACAACTGCAGGCAAAAAAAGTTTACTTCTAACACATACAGAATCTCCAGGTTTTGCTACAGCAGCAAACATCTCTATCTGGGCTCCATGTGTCTTTTTCTCTCAACGAACATCAGCCAGCTTGGGTTGCTTTATCTACTTCACTGGATTTGGAAGCACACGGAGCAGCGAGGCACACCTCTGGCATGTCTGGGAGGGCATGTGACCAGAAGACCCACCCTGACATAGGCAGCACCATTTCAAGGGCTGAGGCCCACATGGAATGAGAGGGACAGGCCATCAGAGGACCAGAATTCCCCTTCACTCTGCTTTCTTGGAGGTCAAGAAATCAACTGCTTTCCTCGGCCTCAAGTTAAGTAAACATGGACTGAACCCTCTGGAATGGTGAGCAAAATAAACCTACATTCCTTTGTTTCTGTCAGTTATTTTGTCAAAATGGGGCAAAAGTAACTGTCCCACAACACTGTGTGGTAGAGGAGGTTCAGAGAGGCAAAGGAGGACAGGTATTAATAATCACGTAGCCCAGACTGTTCTCCCATCATCTCCACCTCCTACATGCTGCGATCATAGGTGTGTATCACCTTGTTCATTTACTTAAACTTAATGACTTTTTTGCTGAAGAATCCTGATGCTATAATTTCTTGTAATCCTAAGGTCAGTCATTTTTCTGATTCCCCAGGGCTTTCCAGCAACCAGAAAGTTTTCTGTCCATGTAATTTATATGCCCAATGGTACTTTGACGAGTGTATGACAAATATTGCTATAGTATTTGAGTTGTGCTGCTGTTAAATCTCATCTATATTGGCTAAGAGAAAGGTCACCTCAATGGTATTAGGAATCTTGTCAATCTCTGCCTCCCACTGAAGGGTAGTAGGGATTATCTATAAACTAAGGTGCAGGAAAATATGAATGTTATTTAATATGATTCTAGCATATTTAATTCCTACTAGTTCTCCTCTGCTTAAGAAGTATAATGAGAAAGTCTCCAGATAATATTGTTAGGTTTCAAGAAGCATTACAAATCAGAAGCTGCCTGAATGAAGTTAAAAATGGTTTCATTATATACACCATGTACACACATAAGAGTCCTTTAGAGAACACTGTGAGCTCTTTGCATTATATGGATAATGTATGATCCACAAATGCACAGAAGATATCAGAGAAAAACCCTGGGTAGAAATGATATAAGCACAGATCAAATTCTTAACCAGGTATACTTTGAGTACAAGTGCAGTTTATGTGATGGTGGATGCCTATAATCCCAGCACCAGGGAGGTATAGGCAGGAAGTTTAGGATTCACAGCCAATACTGACTACCTGGTGAATTTGAGGACAGCTTGAGCTATATAGGACTGTCTCAGGAGGATAAAATCAAAACATGGAGAATGAGATACAAGACTTAAAACTTAGAGAAGACCATTCACCAAGAGTTGAGATAGCAAAGCCTTTTCCCATAATTCTTGGGAGATACGAAATGGCTTAATCTAAGCCAAACAGACAAGGTAAATTAGTTGTCTACAAAGCCTTATTATAATAAGAATGCCAGCCCTATGGTTTCCATTTAATAAATGACAAAGATTGCTACCAATATATAAAGACCAAAGAGAGTGATTCACACACCAATTGAGAAATTTAGTGATAAGAGATTTGACAAGAGCAAAAGGAACATTTAGAAGAAGAGTAAGGTATTTGAATGTGCTCAAGGGATATGACCTAGTAGTCAAGACATGTTGGAATGAATGACACTTACAGTCCTTTCACATACAATTCCTGGTCATGTTTTTGATGAACAGATTTAAGGACTTCCATAAGGAGGTCAAATAAACCAGTCCATACCAGCTGATTGTGCTAACGATTCATTTTTAATCTGTATGTCTCTTTACAAGAGCAATCCTGGAATGATCATTGAAAAATCTGTCCATGTTTTCTGGATGCTAGGGTAATCCAGTGTCCAGTTTTGAGCTCGTCTTTTCCTGGCTTCACAAGGCATGAAGGGAATTACTTCAGTTCTGTGCACCAGTGTGACCCCTTCACTACCCAGACAGGGAGCCTAATTTCTACATTCTCAATGATTTTCAGACCAAAAGGAATTTCTTCCCCAAAAAATTAGTAGGAAACTCATGACCAGATTGAATTGTCTGCCTTCACGCATCACTGATGGCAAGGGCTGGCAAGCCTGTCCTATGGCTGCCTGGTTTGCGATTGTAGGAAATGTTAGCGAGTTCGAGTGATTTGGTGATGCCCTGTCTAGCTATGAATTCACACTGAATTTTTCATAGCCGAGAGCTGGGGAGCAACTGGGAGGGGGAAACATATCTCCCAGCCGGAGAGTCGTCACTGGGAGTTTTCCTCGGAGTCAGGTTAGATTTTAAAATATATTTTTCTGAGTAAAGGTTAGTTTAAAATTACCATTCTGAAAGGGTACGCTGAATTTTTTAAATACTCCTGTAATCTGAAGCTATCTCTTTGGGGTAACAAAACTGAAATTTAAGCTCTTAGCCTCAGATTTTTTTTTAAAATTTAAAGACCAACAGCATACCTTTTAAATATCTCCTGCATTCATTGGCTCTGTTGAAAAACACATTTCTCACAGGTTCTTTGCACATCATTAACTGTGGAAAAAGCACAGACCTTTTTTTTTTTAAAGTGAGCAAGATTTTTCAAAGGTCTGGGCCCTGACTTATGGAACATGTGGCTGAGACCATGTAGTTGCTTTGACATTTATGGTTAAAAACTAAAGAATGGCAGCACCGTCAGGCAAACAGGCCGGCTTCCCAGCCTGTGTTCCAGTACCTGCAGATCACCTGGGAACTGCACAGAGCTCCCAATCCCGGTGGGAGCCAAGCACCCCAGACTCCAGGTCTTCTCTCCCGCCAACGAGACCAGGAAACCAGAGGAGCCAGGGAGACCAGGGGAGTAGCTGTTCCGGATCAGGTACAACAGGACCCAGCATAGGGTCCAGGGGACCAGGTAGGAGGCTAAGCGCCCCAGATTCCTGTTCTTCTTCTCCACCCACGGGACCAGCATTTGGGCAAGGAATAGAAGAACCACCAGATTATTGGACTTGCTAGCACCCACCAAAAGGGAACTCTGGTCCCCAGACCAGTAGGGGGCTCTTTCTGCACCCACTAGAAGAAGAGATGGGAAAGAGACAATACAAAAACACCCTCAGCAACAGAAAAACAAACATGACACCGCCAGATTCTAGAGACTCCACACCAGCAAGACCCCAACATTCCAATGTGAACGAAGCAGAAGAGAATGACCTTAAAAGCACTTTCATGAAAATGATAGAGGCCCTAAAAGAGGATATAGGAAAATCCCGCAAAGAAATGGAAGAAAAAACAAACCAAAAAATGCAAGAAATGGAAGAAAAAACAAACCAAAAAATGCAAGAATTGGAAGAAAAAAACAAACCAAAAAAGGCAGGAAATGGAAGAAGAAATAAAGCACAAAATGCGAGAAATGGAACAAAAAGCAAACCAAAAAATGCAAGAAATGGAAGAAAGTACAAACCAAAAAATTCATAAAAGGCAACAAATGGATGAAAAGATAAACAGAAAATTGCAAGAAGCAATGCAAACACTGCAAGGGTTGAAAACTGAAATAGAGACATTAAAAAAAAACACAATCTGAAGAAAGGCAGAAAATAGAAAAGCTGGAAAAACAGTCAGGCACTACCGATACAAGCATTACCAACAGAATAGAAGAGATGGAAGAGAGAATCTCAAGTGTTGAAGATACACTAGGAGAAATGGATTTATCAACCAAAGAAAACCTTAAATCCAACAAATCCTTAACACAAAACATCCAGGAAATATGGGACACCATGAAAAGACCAAACCTAAGAATAATAGGTATAGAAGAAGGAGAAGAAACCCACCTCAAAGGGGCAGAAGGCATATTCAACAAAATCATAGAAGAAAACTTTCCCAACCTTAAGAAAGACATGCCAATGAAGGTACAAGAAGCCTACAGAACACCAAATAGAGTGGACCACAAAAAAATCCCCTCGCCACATAATAATCAAGACCCCAAACATACAGAATAAAGAAAGAATATTAAGAGCAGCTAAGGAAAAAGGTCAAGTAACATATAAAGGCAGACCTATCAGAATTACACCTGATTTCTCCATGGAAACTCTGAAAGCCAGAAGGTCCTGGATAGATATTCTACCTACACTAAGAGACCATGGATGCCAGCCCAGACTACTATACCCGGCAAAGCTCTCAATCACTATAGACGGAAAAAACAAGATATTCCATGACAAAACTAGATTCAAGCAATATGTGTCCACTAACCCAGCCCTACAGAAAATTTTGGAAGGAAAACTCCAACCCAAGAAAGCTAACTACAACCAGAAAAACATAGGCATTAGAGAAGCCCTCTCTACCTACATCCAAAAGAACAAAGGGGTGAAATTCCACACATAATTCCACCAACAACAACCATTGCAAATTGAAGAAGGATGAGCAATCAATGGTCATTAATATCCCTCAATACTAATGGCCTTAACTCACCCATAAAAAGACACAGACTAGCAGAATGGATTCGAAGACAGAACCCTTCCTTCTGCTGCATACAAGAAACACACCTCACTCTCAAAGACAGACATTACCTGAGGGGTAAAGGTTGGGAAAAAATTTTTCAATCAAATGGACCCAAGAAACAAGCAGGGGTAGCAATCCTAATATCTAACAAACTGGACTTTAAAATAAAATCAATCAAAAGAGATGAAGGAGGTCATTACATACTCATCACAGGTGAAACCCACCAAGATGAAGTGTCTATCCTGAACATCTATGCCCCAAATACAAAGGCATCCACATTCATTAAAGAAACATTATTAGAACTTAAATCTCATCTAAAGCCCCACACAGTTATAGTGGGAGATTTCAACACACCACTCTCACCACTAGACAGGAATACCAGACAGAAACTCAACAAAGAAGCAAAGGGTCTAATAGAAGTACTGACCCAATTGGGATTAACAGATATCTATAGAACATTTCATCCACATAAAAAAGAATATACCTTCTTCTCACCACCACATGGAACCTTCTCAAAAATCGACCACATACTTGGCAACATATCAAACCTCAGCAGCTACAAAAACATTGGAATAACTCCATGCATCTTATCAGACCACCATGCTTTAAAATTAGAATTCAACAACAACACAAATTGGAGAAAACGTACAAACTCATGGAAATTGAATAATGCTCAACTGCACCATCCCTGGGTCAAAGAGGAAATAAAAAAAGAAATTAAAGACTTCCTCGAATTCAATGAGAATGAAGACACAACATACCCAAACCTATGGGACACTTTGAAAGCAGTGCTACGGGGGAAGTTCATAGCACTAAGAGCTCACATGA